AACCTGTTCAAGCAACCAGTTGAAGCAACCAGTTGAAGCAACCAGTTCCCCCCTCGCCTGTGGGGGCGCTGCACCAAGAACTACTGAAAGAAACGACACAAAAACCTCTGAAGACACGTCTTCTTCTTCTTCTGTAAATAAAAACGAAGTGGCATCAAGTTTTATCAGTTTTAGGAGTTATATTTTGTCATTTTTCAACAATGGACTCAGCATGAGCAGAAGATGAGACAGAAGACCATGGAGAATATTGTTCTTCACACAAGTCAGCTGACGGCTCCATATGAGAGAAATGTGTGTTTGTTTGTCCTGTGGAGCGGGTCCGGTCTCTTTACATTCACACTGTACTGGAACCGTGCTGGAGTTCTCTTCTACCGGACCCAGACCTAGGTTTTAGCCCGGGCCAGAGTTCACCTTTTTGTTCCGTGACAGAGTTCCATGGTGCGTTCACACCTCCCTAAACGAACCGGACTTTCTAGGAAAACGATCTAGAGTTGGATTAAAGCAGACTAAACAGGACTGCTGTGAATGCAGCCTAACAGCCCACTGAAGTTGTTCAAGTAGTGCAGCTAATCCAAGATGGAACATCAATGTGAGCGGTGACAAGAAGACGTGCTGTGTCTCTCAGCACAGTGTCCAGAGCATTGAATAGATACCAGGAGACATGGAGGAGGCCGTAGGACATCTACAACCCAGCAGCAGGACCGCTCCCTCGTCCTTTGTGCAAGGAGGAAAAAGAGGTCCACTGCCAGGACCCTACAAAATGACCTCCAGCAGGTCACTGATGTGCATGTTTCCACTCAACCTGTCAGAAACAGACTCCATGAGGGTGGTATGAGGCCTGACGTCCACATATACAGGTCCTTCTCAAAAAATTAGCATATTGTGATAAAGGTCATTATTTTCCATAATGTAATGATAAAAATGAAACTTTCATTTATTTCAGATTCATTGCACACCAACTGAAATATTTCAGGTCATTAATTGTTTTAATACTGATGATTATGGCATACAGCTCATGAAAACCCAAAATGCCTGTCCCAAAAAATTAGCATATTTCATCCCACCAATGAAAGACAAGTGTTTTTAATACAAAAAACACCAACCTTCAAATAATCATGTTCAGTTATGCACTCAATACTTGGTCGGGAATCCTTTTGCATGAATGACTGCTTCAATGCGGCGTGGCATGGAGGCAATCAGCCTGTGGCACTGCTGAGGTGTTATGGAGGTCCAGGATGCTTCGATAGCGGCCTTAAGCTCATCCAGAGTGTTGGGTCTTGCGTCTCTCAACTTTCTCTTCACAATATCCCACAGGTTCTCTATGGGGTTCAGGTCAGGAGAGTTGGCAGGCCAATTGAGCACAGTAATACCATGGTCAGTAAACCATTTACCAGTGGTTTTGGCACTGGGAGCAGGTGCCAGGTCGTGCTGAAAAATGAAATCTTCATCTCCATAAAGCTTTTCAGCAGATGGAAGCATGAAGTGCTCCAAAATCTCCTGATAGCTAGCTGCATTGACCCTGCCCTTGATAAAACACAGTGGACCAACACCAGCAGATGACATGGCACCCCAGTGACTGTGGAAACTTGACACTGGACCTCAAGCAATGTGAATTCTGTGTCTCCTCTCTTCCTCCAGACTCTGGCACCTTGATTTCCAAAGGAAATGCAAAATTTACTGTAATCAGAGTACATAACTTTGGACCACTCAGCAGCAGTCCCAGGCGAGATGCTTCTGACGCAGTCTCTTGTTCAAAAGTGGCTTGACCTGGGGAATGCGGCACCTGTAGCCCATTTCCTGCACACGCCTGTGCACGGTGGCTCTGGATGTTTCTACTCCAGACTCAGTCCACTGCTTCCGCAGGTCCCCCAAGGTCTGGAATCGGCCCTTCTCCACAATCCTCCTCAGGGTCCGGTCACCTCTTCTCGTTGTGCAGCGTTTTCTGCCACACTTTTCCCTTCCCACAGACTTCCCACTGAGGTGCCTTGATACAGCACTCTGGGAACAGACTATTGGTTCAGCAATTTCTTTCTGTGTCTTACCCTCTTGCTTGAGGGTGTCAATGATGGCCTTCTGGACAGCAGTCAGGTCGGCAGTCTTACCCATGATTGTGGTTTTGAGTAATGAACAAGGCTGGGAGTTTTTAAAAGCCTCAGGAATCTTTTGCAGGTGTTTAGAGTTACGTCGTTGATTCAGATGGTTAGGTTAATAGCTTGTTTAGAGAACCTTTTCATGATATGCTCATTTTTTGGGACAGGCATTTTGGGTTTTCATGAGCTGTATGCCATAATCATCAGTATTAAAACAATTAAAGACCTGAAATATTTCAGTTGGTGTGCAATGAATCTGAAATATATGAAAGTTTCATTTTTATCATTACATTATGGAAAATAATGACCTTTATCACAATATGCTAATTTTTTGAGAAGGACCTGTAGGACCTGTGCTTACAGCCCAACACCGTGCAGGATGATGGGTGTTTGATAGTGAACACCAAAATTGGCAGATTCTCCATTGGCGCCCTGTGCTCTTCAAATCAATCAATCAACTTTATTTATATAGCACATTTTAAAAACCACAAGGGTAGCCAAAGTGCTGCACAATAAAACAATAAAAACAAACAAAACAATAAAAACATACAAAGCATACACAAAGAAACATAAAAACCATTCACATACCAGTTTCACAGCAGGTGTATTAAAAAGCCATAAAAGATAAGATCACGTGTTAAAAGCCAAAGAATAAAAGTGTGTCTTTAAAAGAGATTTAAAAACAGGAAGAGAGGAGGCCTGTCTGACACTCAAGGGTAAAGTGTTCCACAACCTGGGAGCAACAACAGCAAACGCTCTGTCACCTCTGAGCTTCAGCCTAGTTTTAGGGACTGTCAGCAGCAGCTGATCAGCTGATCGTAGGGATCGGG